AAAAAACCACATCATGGTAAAATTAATACCATATCTCAGCTAATAAATACTTCATAGCATAATTAATACCTTCTCAACTTCAAATTTAAGCTAAAAAGTATGGCTGAAATAACCATTTATATGGTTATTCCAATCTGTAACTTTTAGTATTGTGACAGTCAATCAGTTTGGTTGAAACTTATATTAGTTCAGTTGATATATTATGGTTATTATATATATATACACTATGGTTAATGCAAGTATACATTATGGTTACCTTACTTATCTATACATAGCCATTACCTTTCTAGATAGTTCTATTTACGATGCGTCTTCAGTTAATGTAAGCGTTTATTGAAGGTTAAATATAACTTCTTAATAAATAATAAAAATAGAATAAATTTGGTATGGTATTTAATCATATTTTAAGTGTCAAAACAAATACAAATTTATAAAACATCTGAAACGGACCAATACATTAAGATTACATATATTGATGTAAAACTGTACAAACTAATATTATATATATATATATATATAAGAACCAAATATGGTTCAATGAATACCTACTTAAAACTTTCAATTGCATTTTATTAAATTGTAAAAAGTAATTTAATTATGTATTATAAAAATTAAAAAAAAATGTTATGTACTTTATATTGAAAGTAACACAGCTTGACAAAATTTAGGTCATAGAATGTTTATGAATTTTTGTCCTGATAGATTTGACACTAATAACGATCATGCTATTAGTTTTTCTGTTATCAATATTTTAGCCAGACTGAGTATTTGTTATATTAGGTTTTTTTCAAATCAAATTATTCATTATTATAGGACCTTAGTTAAGAAAAACTAGCTTTCCTTATTTTATAATCTTATTTGAACCTAATTTTTATTCTAAACATTTTCCTACCTTTTAAAGTTTATATCAGCATTAGTAGGACTAATCTTCTCAACTCATTTCTTGTCCAGCATTTATAATTATAATATTAATCATATAAATTATTAATAATTTTGGTATTATAATTAATATTTAATTAAATTGACTAATTATAAATTTGTTATGTATAACTAAATATTCAATTTTATTAATTTTGAATTAAATACTCTAATAAAAAAATTATTTATTAATTTCAATTGAAATAGTAAAACTTTCTGAATGCTATTATAACAATAAATGTAAAATCGTCATTATTTGGTAATCCTACGATTGGTTTTTAATTTTTAATTGGAAAATTCTTAGTGGTTTAGACAGTAAAAAGTACAGGACAATCCACCTAACCTCAAACAGTTCTAAAATCGCTTTTTATATTTTAAAATATATTTCTCCATCCAAAAACATTTTAAACTTATTATAATTTTTTTTCAGTCAACATGGCAACTTTTAAAATGGTTTTTGTAAAAATCAAATCATCTAAGAACTGTTTAATAAAGCAGAATTTATAAATTCACAATTGTTTTTGTATTCAAATTTTGAATGTGTCCCTTAAACTTTCTTAAAATAATATAATATTTATTTATACTAATAAATGAAGTTATACATAAAAGAATATAGTTGGTTCAACAACAATTAGTGTGGCATAATTAGTATTTTGTTTATAGGGGTATATACAGAGTGTTCATTAAGTCAGGAAACGGGTTTCTATTGTTCTCATTGTTTGTAACAATGAGAACAATAGAAACCCGTTTCCTGACTTACTAAACACTCTGTATAAGAAAGATTTTTATTAAACCCTTCTATGAAAATAAAATTGTATTCAATAACCATTTTTACCGAGGGTATAAATTACACTTTAATCCCCTTTCTACAGGTAAGGGACCCCGAAATATCTAGTGTTTGCACTATACAGGTGTTCAGTAAGTCAGGAAACGGGTTTCTTGACTTACTGAACACCCTGTATAAACATATACATATCTGAATTACTAAAAATAAAATTAATAGGAAATATAATCCACATCTTCCAAAGAAAAATAACTCAGAAAAACCAAGAGGACGCCTAAGGAAATAATATTTTAAAAATATTCTGGAATTCATGAACTGTACGTTTCATTGAAGAATTTGGCGTCAACAAGGCATTGCCTTTAATGGATTATAATATACATATCTTCTATATATCAACATCAGTCTATACACTGGAGTGTATATAACTGATGAAAGTAATTGTGCGATGATCATTGTTCAAAAACTTTTGTCAGTGTACTAAGCTGAATGACTCGTGAATTACGAACTCGATTAAAATCATTTTTTTTTTGTATCTTTCAGTTATATTTAATTTTTGATTTATCTACTATTATGTATTTTTTGTTTATCCTTGTATTATAGTGGTACAAATTTTTTAAACAGAAATATACATATTAAACTAGCATATAAAACAGAGAATTATGTAAGAGTATAACTGATCCATAATATTTTTTGAACCAGTATTTCAGAAGTTGTTTAAGATTTAAATAAATAGGGATGAAAAGTGGGTGCTACCATTTGATCATTAAATATTTCTCGGGCGCACTCTTCTTGTCTAGGTATAAAAATGTGAATAATTTCCTTAGGTTAAACAAAATTTGATTTCATGAACAATTTAAAAACTTTAATAACATTTTTTCATTCTAAATTAATATTAAGTGTATAAAATACTATAAAACTAATATGACCCAATTAATAAGTGATATAGTAATGATTTTTACTCGGGAGAGAGCTAAAATGTTTTTTCATTTTTCTTAATACACACTTTTACTAGTGCCAAAGTCATATATTGATAATACTAATAATTGGCCAAGGGGAAAGAAGTTAGCACCCATGATTTGCATGTCTTAAATATTAAATTTTGAAATAAATTATTAATTAATGGCATTGAAATATAATGTAATAATTTATAAAAAAAAAAAAATCTAATTCTTAAATTTCTAGTTATTTATATGGTGAAATAGTTTGTATAAATGGCAATAAACTTATATTTTAAGTGTTACTAAAGATTTATCACTATGTTTCTGGTTTTATAATAAATAAATTACTTCATGGTCATGAGAATGTATAGGGCAACAACCATGACAAAGACTCATAGTGTAAGGATGGTATCCATTTTTTATTAAAAAATAATTCAAGACACAATTTATTAATGAAGTGTTTTATTTACATTTACAAGCAAATAAACAGCTCTGCAAAGTACAATTGAACACTTCCAACAATTAGTTTACTAAAAAAAAAAAAAAAAAAAATCAATAAAGGTTTGATTAAATTTTTTTAAATAAATATTGTAAGTTATTTACCCAAAATTTCTTGTGTTTGAAAGTGAACACAAATATATTGTATGCAATACCAAGTAATACAAAGATTTACAAGTAAATCTTTTGAACTTTGTTTACATAGGTTATTTTTTGGATAAATAACTAATAAAAGATTTAAAATTGTAGACACATTGAGAAAATTGTAGGTTTTACTTATTTTTGAGGTACATTTTTATTTTCAATCTTAATTATACTTATTATTATTTGAAACCAGACCAGGGATTTACAACCTATAGCTTTTTAGCGATTTTGAAATATCATATCTTAACTTAATTGTATACAATTTTTTTAAATTTGTGTTTTTTGTGTTCATTATATAGTTAGTGAAAATCATGTTTAGTTGGCTTCAGGTTTAATACACTATAATATCTACATAGGGTCATCGGTCATAAATTATTTTATAAGTATACACTAAAATATTTATTTTCTTTAAGTAAAAAAATAATAAACTTAATAGTTATTCATAATTCAATATCTTTTTGTAAAAGTAGATTGAAAAATACAATTTAAATACCTACAGTAATATTCATTTTATTTATTTCTTTTGAAATCATATAAGAGATGCAAAAAATCAAATAGTTTTAGTATAAATTAAACAGTGTATACTGACATTAGACTTGTATGATATTAACTCTTCTCACAAGTGGTTATACCAAGCATTACACCAAAATGTTGAAAAAATATTTATAAACAGAAAATATGAATTTATTCTACTATTGTTAATTTCCTTATTAAACAATTTTAGTTATTGAGATAAGAATTCAAGTGTAGCTTGGTATAATAAGAAGATCGCTGAAAATGTTTTGTTATAACTTTTAATATTGAGTAAAATAGTATGAGATAATTACATCAAAACATTTAAAATCACTAAAAATATAAGGAATAAAAAATTTGAAATACAAGCAAGAAAATAGTATAGTGTCTATGTAAATTATAAAATGAAAACATAATACCTTTTTGCCAGATGTTGCGCCAACTTTAGTCTTTTTGGTACCTCGGACCTTCTTCATTCTGTTCTTTCTTTCCTTTCTCTGTTTTCTTGTTTGTACTTTCTTTTCATATAGTCCATGCTAAAAAAAAATATAACATATTTGAATTGAATTTGAAGTTAAGTTTTGGGAAATAAATATACAAACGGAGTACTACAGTTTTATACCAAAAAACTAGGAAGTACTCAAACATCTCATGTAAAAATTGGCTTACAAGCTGTGTATCGAGTTAAAAATTCTATACATAAACTTATAAATAAACCTATATACATGATAATATAAACAATTTAAATAATTAATACTGATACTAAATCACTATGTAATTAAGAAAATGACAGGTTGATGACAACTTTTGGATCAATACTTTGGATGTTATTCTCATTTTGGTATCTAGGCAGGAAAAAAAAAGAGAATGGAAGGGATATAACTAGTGATAAAATAGTAGCATCCACTCTTCATCTCCAGTAATTACTTTAAATTGTTAATAACTTTTGAAATAAAACTCTGAGTTTTTATTGACATTTTTTTAATTAGATAATTTTCTATTTTATAAGTTAATTAAATATGTATGTTAACATTAAAATGAATAAATATCACATTCCTTTAAATTCTAAGAAATGATTCTAAAGTTATTATTTCCAAAAAATCAAGATTTATACATAACTAAAAAGAATCAATAATTGTTTTTTCCAATATTGTATTTATTTTGAGAGTAATTGAGTATTTTATATTAATTTGATTACTTTATATAAACAAAAATACAGAAATTTAAGGAAATATATAAAACATTTGATTACTTCCAACTGGTATAAAACTTAGACAAGAAATTATAAAATGGATATTCATTTTATACATACCCTTTGTAGTCTGTATTTAGGTTCAAATTTCTTAGCATGGTCTAATGTATCATAGATGAGAGCAAAACCAGTTGATTTTCCACCACCAAAGCACGTTTGGAATCCAAAAACAAATACTACATCAGGAAGAACTTTGAACATTTTAGCCAATTTTTCCCGAATATCAGTTTTTTTAGGGGAGGGTTTACCAGGATGCATAACATCAACAACCTTAAAAAAATACACATAATACATTACTAAAACAGAAGTATCAGATTAATAGTTTTATAATCATAAATAAAATATTTATAAATATACATTCAAAGTTCTAAGAATGATCTAAATTTGACTCTTTCTCTTTAAACTAAAGCAAAAAAATGAAATTACATTAACTGAATTTAATAGTAATTTAGAAAATGATAAACTAATTAACTTTTAGTGAACACATCATTATAAAATTATTTTTATATACCATTTGTTTTCTGCATAGCAGACGGTTAGTCATAAATTTACGGGTCCGAACTGTTGCAGTAGACGTATTGGCAACCTAAAAAAAATAATTCATTTATATTCAAAGATTACATTAAATAGATGAATTAAATTAGCATTAGTATTAATTAAATTAACAATGTTACTCTTGTACAGAAATACAAAGTAATTTACCAGTTGAGGTTAATTTGTGGCCAGAAAATTTTTTTGATTTAATAATTTTACAATTTAAAATGTTCCAAGAACAGCGGTATATGATACTAATATCACTACACTTGGTACACTACCCTCAGTAAAATTAAGAGTTTGATTAGTGATTACATCCCACCAGTATTAATTATAAGAATGAAATATTATTATAATTGAATAATTTATGGTTTTTTAAATTTGTAAGTTTAATTGTTCATATTTTAGGCTGGACAGATAACATTAAATGAACAATAAAAACACCAGTTTTGGAAATATTAAAACTCTATTAAAAAATATCAATCAGTACCGTTAATCATTTAAAAATAATTAAATCAAAGGGTAAAAACAGAACTAAATGCTTTTAAGTCTGTTCATAATTTGGTATTTCAAATTTTCAAGATTAAATTGGATAAAATTTTACTTACCATTTTGGCTGTTAGAAACTTCGTAATTCACCAATAACTAAACAAACAACATCTGAACGTGAAAATATGAAGGAACGACGTTGTATACTTCAGTATAGTATTTTCGTTTGATAAGAATGAATTTAGGAACAAGACAATAATTTTTATAATATTAACTTGTGAATTATTACATTTTTACAATATCTTTTATGTTAAATTGGCAACACTGATATATTTGTTTACTATAGTAATCACAATTTACTTTCGGCTTTCGATTAACAAACTTTTATGTTAGTGTTTACTTCGATGTGCTAGTAGTTTGTTGGTGTATTTAGTAAAATTATTTAAAAACTTTTGGCTCCGTTTAATTCGAGATATCGAGTTGTGAAGTTACATGATGGTGTGAAATTATGGTTCGCGAATATGTAGTTGATGAGTAACTAATTTTATAGAATCATTTTTATTTTAAAATTTTTTTAAAGTTTGTTAAGAAAAAATTTATTTAATAAGTTCTTAAAAAATGCCGGTTGTTGAAAATCAAACTATGTATTCAGACACTGAAAAAGCTCCTATTATTAATGGCATGGAAACTCTACCAAAAACTAAACAAGTAAATTTTAAATCTCCGCTTTTTTTTTTTATAATATATGATAAGCTTTAATTTATATTTGTGTATTATTCAGAAAATAAACTATAGGAGATCTTAAAAATGTTTTAAAATAATTTAATTTATATTCTAATATTATATTGGCATTCTTAGATTTTTTTTTAGGGTGATGAAATAAAATTTTAATTGCTAACAAAATCTGTAATATTCATTTTACTTTTTGGGTTTTTAACTATTTTACATTTAATAGCACTTTAAGAACAAAAATACATTTGTCTATTTTATAAGCAATCACCTAAAGAGAGGGATAATAATTTGTTTATAAATATTCACTGTTGTAGTTATGATTATAATAATATTCTATTACAATTAGTATTTATAGAGAATGTGAAAGTTAAATTAAATTAAATATTTATTCTCCTTAAATAACTTATTTAACTATTAGTGTTTTAATTAAATTTAGCATATTATCATTTTTTCTAAGACAATTATTGTATCTGGTTTAAATTTGCATATTATTGTAATTTATAGTCTTTTATTTTACAAAAAAAAGTAAAGAAATAAATGAACAAATTTTTATTAATTTTTTTGGTTTGAACTTACTATGATCATTCCCATTTTTATTTATATGAGTAAATTATTACGGTGAAAAACTTTTATATTATGAATCAAAGGGTTTTAACACTATTAAAAAATATTAGTAATAATAATATTATAAATAAATTTATCCTAAAAAATATAATTTGTGTGAGTATTACTTAAGTATTAAGCAATAATAATTCTAGAGTTACTTTTATTAACTAGATTTCAGTTACCTTTTTATTTACAGTTCTAGAAAATATTAATTTTATTCAATGTCTAGTTTTTAATAAGTTCAAAAAAATATTTTAAACCAATGAAATTAAAAGACCAAAATAACCAACATTTAAAGAATTCTTTTATATTTTTTTTTTTTGAACATTTAAAGAATGGGAGTATAAATCACAGATTGATTATTTTATGTGGAAGAGAGAGAGAGAGAGTGTAAAGCGAGTAAAAGATTGTAAAGTTATCCCAAGCAAGAGTGTAAAGCGAGTAAAAGATTGTAAAGTTATCCCAAGCGAGAGTATAACTTCACAACACGGACTAAGTTTTTTGTGTGAGACAAATTATAGAAAAATATAGAAATAAGGCTGTGTATGGTATTTATAGATTTAGAGAAAGCGTATGATAGATTGCCAAAAGAAGTTTTAAATTGAGCATTAATGAAAAAAAGAGACCCAAAAAGGTACATTAAAATAATAGAGGATATGTATGATGTCACTTGTACCCGGGTAAAAAGTTTGGTTGTAGTAATAGAAGGTTTTAGGGTAAGAGTAGAAGTACAACAGATTCTGCTTTAAGCCCGTACTTATTTTCCATATTAATGTATGAAATTACTAAAGAAATACAAGGAGAGGTGTTGTGGTGCATGTTGTTGGCTGAAGATATAATATTAATAAGAGAAAATAGGAAGGAAATTAATCAAAGACTAAAGGTGTGAAGATCAGCTCTTGCAGAAAAAGGTTTAAGAATAAATAGAAGTAAGACAGAGTATATAGAGTACGAGTTTGACAAAGGAGAATATGAGGTAAGGTTGGAGTTGGTGAAATGAGAAGGTCAGTGACACTAAGTGAGGACGTAATAGAAGAAGTAGAAAGTTTTAAGTATTTAGGATTATTTATGCAAAAGAATGGTGGTATTTATGATGATGTAGACGCAGGATTAAGTGCGGGTGGATAAAATAGAGATAAACATCAAGTGTATTATGAGATAAGAGAATTCCAATGAGGGTGAAAGGTAAGTTTTATAAGACTGTAATGGGACCAGTTTTGATGTATAATTCAGAGTGTTAGGCGGTAGACAAGAGAATAGAGCAGAGAATGCTAAGATAGATGAGTGGAGTGACTAGAAAAGATTGGATAAGGAACAAACATATAAGAGGGATTATAGGTGTAGTTGGTTTGGTTCTGTTATGAGGAGAGAGGAATCGGAAGTTGTAAGAACAGTTATGAATATGAATGTTGAAGGGAAAAAATGTAGAAGATGATCAAAAAAGTGATGGAGCGATATTATTGAATTCAATATGAGGACTGTTGATGTGTGTATAGATGATGTAGGAGATTATGTTAAGTGGAGGTTTAGGATAAAGATGGCCAACCCCAAGTAGTTTGAATAAAAGCGAGGAAAAAGAAGTTCATTATTATTAATTCAAATGTACTGTACTAAAAACAAAATTTAACCATAATTTAAGTATTTGGGAAAAGGAGTTAAGTCTAAAAGTAGGTGAATTGTTATTAGGCGTTCTGGAGAATATTCTACAAAAACATTATCTCAGGAATTTTAAATCACTACCTATGTGTAATAATAAACAAATTGTTCTTTAAAATACTGTATAATGCTTTTTAATTATCTTCTGAGTGATTATCAATGAGACAAGTAAGTTATAATCTAGGATTTATAATTTAAAAATTTTTCTATCATATGCATTAAAACTTTTTTTAAATTATTTTCTCCTCTAATTAAAAAATCAAATACCCTAATTTATACAATAACTTTCTTCTGTTATCTTATTGCAATAATTTTAAAAAGTATACTTTTTTTTTTATCTAAATTTAGATGTGAGTAATACAATGTACCATTATTATTGACCTTAAACAGACTTTTAAATATAAATCAAATATTAAATATATATATTTATATTGATTGAAATACTTTATTAGTGTCTAATTTAGTTAAAAAGTGTTTGAATTTAATGTATTTTATTTTATTTTTTTAAGATTTAGAGTAAATTTTGGAAGTAATTATGGAATTTATCAATGCCCAAGTCTAATTTTATTGATTTGTTTAATTTAAGTTGTATTTTTTTTTAATTGGAATACTGCGATATAATTATTTTATTGACATGAAATTGACAAGTTTAAATTGATATTAATAGTGATTTGCTATGATACTAACGTGTTAATAATAATAATTGGGTTATTAACAGAATATTACGGTAATTAAATAACAATATTTAATCGATTTAGTATTGCATTGTACTATCCCAACTGTCAAAGCAAAATGTTACTTTTTGCTATAATTAATGAAACTTGTAGAGAAATAATTTTAATCGGTTGTTCAAGGGCAAACAACTGCTTGCCTGCGTGCATCTATGTACTTAAATGGTTAACCGCTATTGTTATTATTATGTAGTTTCGTTAAAAAATAAAAATAAATTAAGGGCCTTAAAGTATAGTCAGAAAACAGTACCCGAAATTTTTTTTCGTGTTAATATGTATTGAAAATATAAAAATCATAAGAAAATTGGCAAGTAAAACAGTATCGAAACTGTGTTATTATTGATAATTATTCAAATTAATCCAGAGACAGGTAATAAATAAATATATATATATCCTTTCTTCTATTCAACCATTCTTTACTTGAAGTCTCGCATATTTTTACTGGTTGTAATAACTTGGATAAATAATTTTTTTAAAGTGTATTTTGTTAAGGATTAAAAAAAATGATGAAAAAATGGGATGAGAAAGTATGTTTTTTTTTCAGGAATTTATAGAATTAAATTAATTTTTGTGGTAAATCTTGCTTTACATTTTTTTATTCAGTGTTTTCTTGGAACTTTCTTATTTTTATTGAATGCGTTTTAAACCTATTTAGTTTTTAATCAAATTGAATTGTTTTTAAGGAGTTATTAAAAAAAATTATTTTTATGAAAATTCTTAAATTTATAAAATTTTTCCCGAGTGAACAATAACTTCACGTTTTGTTTTGTCTGGACCTAATCTTCATTTTAGTCTTTTTAAAGATTAATATTAATGACAAAGTATAATAGAATCCAAAACTTGCGCTTTATTTGAATTAACCTGTGTTTATTAAAAAATACTATGACATAAAAACACAACACGAAACAGAGAAAACAATTTTTTCTCAATTACAAATTGAAGTTCAAAAGTACCAAGTAATGTTTATAACAGTTAAAATTGTTGAATTTGTCGAATATTTTCGTGATTTATCTGTAACATTGCTTATATTTTTTAAGCTATACAATTAGTGGCCCATTTGGTTTTGTTAAAAATAACAAATGAACTGTAATAAATTAATTAACTGGTAGCATACTTGAAATGTCAAGTGTGTACGATGCACCACTCACACGATACGGTCGATAAGATACGTAATTACAAGAACAATTTCCCTTAATGGGATTACTATTTTAAAAATATGCTGGTCAACATACGAATACAATGAAATAAGTTTTTATATATTTATTTTATGGACGCAAGGACAAATTATTTGGTTGTACTAGCATTTTCATCAGACCATGACGTAACTGTTATGGTAGCTCCTGTTAACCCAGGGTAGATAGGAAACGTTGTCATTTAAAAAAACGTTCATGAGTTATAATTTTTACTCTAATATTTATAACATTTGTTTATATTTACTCTTTGTACATAATTAATAGGTGAGATTTAAGTTCTACAAGATTTCTTTATCTCTGTGTGTGCGTTATTCCTAGTTGCTGTTTAATTTTACCGCAGCCGTGAATACCTTTATGCAATAATAATGAGTTCCATTGGTTACTCTCAGACGGTACCTTACCATTCCTGTTACTAACTGTTGTTGGAACGTTGACCTCGACCAGCAACTTAAATATAACCATTAAACTTTATATGATGTGTTTTTAAATTTATATTAACCATTTTTAAAATTGTGACTTTTTTTATAGGTTGAATTTTTAATATGTTGTTTTTTTTTTATTCGTAATTAAGAGAAATAATTTTTTTTTATTGTCAATTATATTTAATTATACAGGTAACAAGGAATTGTCATCAGAGACGAAAATATAATTTTCTAAACCTATTTATCGCACTGACTACAAATCTGCAATTAGATTTTTTCTATTGTCTCTAGTTTTTGAAATGATTACTAATCAGTAAAATAGTTAATTACACATTAAAAAAATGAATTAAAAATTATAAAGTTAGTAT